TACATATACATACATATATATATATATATATATATATATATATATATATATATATATATATATATATATATATATATATATGTGTGTGTGTGTGTATGTATATATATATATATATATGAATGACATGACTATATATATATATAATGTGTGTGTTTTTATATATATATATATATGACATGACTGCAGTCACAGTGGACCGTCGCAGGATTCACCGTGTGACTGCCTCCCTTACACCCCCCCTGCACCCTCGGTGTCCAAATTGGATTTATTTTACTTTCAAATATACGCCGCCGCTCCTAGCAACCAACAGCCGATTGGGTTAACAGGATGGTGACAACAGCGCCTCTTTTTCCTCTTTGGTCATCGCATTGACTGACGATTGGCCTATCCAATTAAAAGTTAAAATAAAGTGACCTGATGAGATTGGCCTATTGGCGATTGGCTATTCGCTATTTGTGGGCGTAGACACTTTCCTGTACTGGTATGTTCAGAATAAGGAATTACCTCAGCATCGCTTTGCGAGGTCAATGCTTATCTCCGGAGCCGCAAGCTTATATCGTCACGTATTAATAAACCATTGTATGTTGATTACCCCCTGACAATAATTTACATTATTACATTATAAACGTGTCCACAACGAGAGATGCGACATCGTGAAGGACTGTATCGCATGTACCAACCGAACACAAACGGGTGAGTAGAGCAGGTGAGCGCGGCTAGACGGGGGCGGGGAACCCTGAGGAGGATTTACCTGGTGCGGTGTCACGGTCGGGGGTTGATTTGGTACCATATTTGTGGCAGCATAGGTATGACGCTGCAAAAAACCAAAATCTCTACTACTCACCTTGCCACTAGAACCATTAGTGAGTCACCCTTTCCTCGGCGTCCTTTCGGTGCTAATACCAACGGGAATTCCCCCCTCCCCCTACCACGGTTGAGCAGATTCTTCATTTGCACCTCCGGTAATGTCATTGGGATGTAATGAGTTCACTTATGGAGAAGCTCTATACTCAGGACACGTACTTCTTTTGTGTACTGGGACCACATGTTGATATCTCATTTCCAAAATATGTGTATAGGACTCAGAAGTGGCACTGAATGCTGCAGTAGAGTAGGGTACATTTCTGGGAAAAATCCAGGTTAAGTACTAGTGTCAGTTAAACTTGACGTAGTGGAAAAGCCCAACAGTTCATACCGTCTAAACCCAAGACTCCAGCTAATGATTCCCCATAAACTACTGGGCATGTTTTTGAATGATTTACTCA